TTTTTTGTCTTTTTTCATTTCAACTAAAAAACACAATTCTCATTTAATATGTCTAAAGAAAAAGTGTGATTGAGGGCTAGGTTTCTTTGTCTAAGTATCTTTGTAATTAAGAACTTAAGTCTTTTAAGTTTGAATTTTGAGATAAATCAAAGTTAAGTGAGAAAGGAAGAGCTAAGTGAGTAAGGAAGAGTTATCACTTTCTATATAATTAATCATCAAACCTATAAAAAAAAAATCCTTTAATTTATTAAAAAAATCCATCTTAGTTTGATTTGAATCCTATTAATTCAGAACTTTTTTTCTGATGTATGGGTTTCAAAACGTGGTTTTGAATCATTTTAGGTTTGGATGCATGAATTTCAAAATAGTATCCTTCCATATTTATAGTATGTTTAATGATATTCATACAACATATCGTGATCCTTCCATTTCCTATCCTCCTTTTTCACCAATTTCAAAAAAATTTGAATTTGAGGCTTTTGAGTTCATTTTAAACTTTTGAGTTCATTTTAAAGTCAAATCATTTTTTTTTTATCATCTAAAGTCAAATCATTTTGATTTGTAAGTAAAACACATAATTTTTAAAAAATTAATTTTGTATTAAGAGTTGAAACAAAATATATACTATAATGAAAAAATCTTTTTTATTACTTAATATTTTAATCTACATGATAGGTGAATTCTCTATATCCTACTCAATTTGAATACAATATTTGTCATTGAAATAAAAAAAAGGAGGTAGGTTAAAAAATAATTTTAAAATAAAAGATTTTAAAAGTGTTTCTAAAAGAATCTTAAAATAAAATGACAACATATTTGATTAGTGGTTTAATATTTGTTCTTCTACAATTCATGGTTTTGGGCAATTTCCAATTTTTATTAGATAGGTTTGAGGCTAATTTTGTAATTATACATTGTCTTGAGTTGGATATTGAGTGAGATAGGGACCATGGGTTTGTTTCAGACACAAATTTTGGTTTTGTGAATTGGGGATTTCATTTGTTGAAGAAGAAATTGTGCGATGTCGTCTTCATCAAGGGCCAATACCGAGTTGCAAAGGTCCGGAATGCTAGAGAACAGTTGCTTTATCATTGGGTATAGCAAATTTAGGGATATTAATTGAGGAAGACGGGCAAATTTGGCAAAAGGTGCATATCACCCCCTTAACTCACCTATTGGTGGCAAATCACCCCCTCAACAAATTTCACGCGCATACTACCCCCTCAACTCACTTTCAGTGGCAAATCACCCCCTGGCACCATTCTTCCGTTAGCTTTTAACAGTTCGTTAACCCACCCTTTTTTTGCGTCTGATGTGGCATTTTTTATGCTGAGATGGACAAGTCACCTGGACAAATCATCCAGATAAAAAATGCTAACCGAAGAGTTAAGACAGAGAAAATTAGTGGCTAGTTACCAGCACCGAAGACCGAATCCATGGAAGAGACGATGGAGACCCAGCACAGAGCAAGACTCGCCATTTTTGAACTGGTCAACATGCTAAGCGTTCCTATGTCCCTCAACGCCATCGTCCGCGTCAACGTTCCAGACGCAATATGGCAAGGTGGGGCTAATACCGCTCTCATCGCCTCCCAGATCCTCTCGAAAGTTCTCCCCTCCGGTGGTGGGGATGCAGAGAACCTCCAGTGCATCCTCCGTATGCTCACTAGCTATGGTGTGTTCGCGGAGGTACTGCATGATACTGACCGTGCGGAGAGAAAATACTCACTAACTGAGATCAGGAAGATGCTCGTCACCGACGTCGACGGTCTTTCCTGCAGGTCTTACGTGCTCCAGCACCTCCAGGTTTATTTATTGCAGTTTTTCTTCAATCCAATTTTCCCCAAGTTTAATGAAATTTTCGTTTAATTGTACTTGTATCATAAAAATCGACGATTTTTTTACAGGACGAGATAATGAAAGCATGGCCATTGGTTCACGAGGCGGTGGTGGATCCGACATCGGAACCATTCGTGAAGGTGAACGGTGAGCCGGCGTACACTTACTACGGAAAAAGGCCGGAGATGACTGGGTTGATGCAGAAGGCTATGTCGGGAGTCTCCGTGCCTTTCATGAAAGCAATGCTAGAAGCCTACAGTGGGTTTGATGGGATCCAGCGCCTGGTTGACGTCAGCAGCAGTACCGGGCATTGCCCGAGGATGATTTGTCCAAGTGGCTTGTCCATCTCAGCATAAAAAATGCCACATCAGATGCAAAAAGGGGGTGGGTTAACGGACTGTTAAAAGCTAACGGAAGAATGGTGCCAGGGGGTGATTTGCCACTGAAAGTGAGTTGAGGGGGTAGTATGCGCGTGAAATGGATTGAGGGGGTGATTTGCTACCAGTAGGTGAGTTAAGGGGGTGATCTGCACCTTTTGCC